TCCTCAACCTCTCCTCCGCCGCCCCATCCACTACCGACGCCCAATTCTCCTCCTCAAACCCGTCTCCACCATCCAATTCCTCATCCGCCCAATCCCCATTATCCTCCCTCCTCTGTCCACCGCCACAACTTCGCTGCCCCCTCTTTGGCACCGGCCTCTCCCTTGGCCCCAACTGATTCTTCGGACACTCATATGACAAATGCCCACTAACCCCACATTCATAACACCTCGACTTATCCTTATAAACCCTTTTCCTAATAAACTCCGGAGCTCGTCCGTTATCGACGGCGATGGAAGCGCTTAGGGTTCTGCCGTTGAGCACTTTTCCGTGCATGACACGCTCCGCCGATAGCGCATCGTCGCGGGAAACAAACTGGATGAAGGCGACTCCCTTGGAAATTCGGGTGACGCGGTCTTTGAGGACGGTGACGCGGGCGATTTTCCCGAAGGTAGAGAAGAGAGTATGGAGGTCCGAGTTTGTGAGGGAGTAGTCGAGGTTGGAGACATAAAGGGTTGATTTTGATGGGGCTAGACCACTGGATCCGCCACCGCCGCCGGCAGATTTGAAGGTAGTTTGGTTGTTTGAGGGTTTTGAGGAAGACGAGGACGGTGGGGCTGCGGCCGAGGCGTAACGGAAATAGAAGGTTTCGTCTTCTTCGCTATCGCTGTTGGTAGTGGATTTTCTTTTCAAAGTCATTTTTTTTTTTGAATTTGAAAATTCTAAATTGCAAAGTGATTAAGTAGAAAATGTAAAAATGCATCTGCAGAACTTCCTTTTTTTACTAAAATATCATTTTGAACTTAAATTTTCAAAATTATTTCGATTGTACCCTCAATATTATTATCTTGTTCCACTTTAATGGATTATGTTAATATTTGGGTTGGGGTGGGTAACCGTCTCAAACAAGAACCCTTTACCCATTTATATAGTATTTTATTAATATTTATGTAATATATAATAAATAAATTAATTAAATATGTAGAATTTTGATGGTGTTTAGATTTTAAACACTCCACATTTTTATCAATTTATGAATAATTCATTTTGATAGAAATTGATAGATATATTAATGATATATGATTGTTAGTCACATTATTAATGTTATATCATTAATATATTCAAATTAAAAAATTATTAGATTATTAGTTATGTTTAAATAATATGAAAATGTTATCATATTACAAGAAATATAATTATTATATTTTTTTAATATATTTATTTTATAAAAATTATAATTTATAAAATTAATAGTTATAATATATATACTTTTTATGTACACTTATAATAATATATATCTAAAAAGATATTGTGAAATTAAAATAGTTTTGCAACTTATTTTTTTTTAGTTTCATGTAATTAAGGATAAATCTTTAGAGTTAATTAAATTAATTCATGAAAGTATGACTATTGATTAACTTGTAATATCTTTTAATATATATACTTTATATATTATGTTAATTTACAAAAAATATAATTACTATTATATATATGCTTTCAATATAAATATATTTACTTTCTATTTTGTGTTAACGTTATAAAAATTATAATTTATAAAATTATTAATTATAAATATAACATATATACCTAATAAGAGGTTGTAAGATTAGAATACATTTATTGTTTGTTGGCTTTTGTAAATTTAAATTAAACAATGATTGTTGTAAACTTATAATTTTGTTGTTGTTGTAAACTTATAATTTTATTGTTTATTTGTTTTTACAAATTTAATTATTAGTGAATGGTATGGAATATAGATGTGAATTGTAAAATATAGTTTAATTGTATATTGATAAAGGTTTGGATTTGAGTTCAAGTAATGCATACCCATGAGGAGTTAAATAGAATTTTTTAACATAATCAGGTTTTAAAAGAATTTGGATAATTATTAGGTAATAAGTATGTATTAGGATTTGAATTAGGATACTAAATTTTAAAAATATCGGGTAAGTATTGGGTTTGCAACTTTAAGGTTCAAGTACCTCAAAATTAACAAGTACTATACTTGTTGACATCCTTATTCCATCAAAATAAAAAAAAAAAAAGGAAAAACG